TTGCTTGTTGTGCTCATGTTGACGTAATAAAATATCGAAAAACACTGACGTTTTCCTTCGAGCGCGCACAGATTACTTGAGCTTTTGTCCTCAGCGCACATGCGATCGTAAAACTATAGGGCGCCACCTTAAAAGGACAATTCAGAAAGACTCCAAAAGAAGGGATACTTTAAAATGTAGATTATCCATCTGCAAAACATGGCTAAACAAGGATGACGATGTCTGTGAGTTCCCAATCTAACTATCTCTTGATTGCCTGCAAACACTTGCATGAGGCCATAGACTCTTGTCAAACTCCCAGCTACTGTTGTCAAGTTTAAACCTTGCTTGTGTATTGTATATACATGTTCTCTCATCCTTGTTTGGTTATGCTGGAATGGTAGTGCAAGACAGTTCAACTGGTGGGGACTATTGTCCAATTTAGACTCTAGCTAAAGAAAAATATAGATTCCAACAAGACTGACCTTCCTGGTTTGTCTACATGTTTACAAAGCCTAGCTTTAACTTCGTCATAAGTCATAAAAGCGCAATAACCAGGGTGCGTCACAGCAAGAAGATTCCAGTTTACAAGCAGATGTGACCATGGTTGAAACAGCCTTGTGAAGACATCGTACTCAAATATGGATATGTGGTCATTACATGTAAGATCTATTGTTGACTTCAAGGCCATTGCCTCCAAGCCCGAGCTGATATGGTGTACTGTCTGAAGAGTTTGACGAAATTGCTTCCAAGACACTGTCGTTTTGCTAAACAAAAGTCAGAAAAGAAATTCAAATTAGAGCAAATTTACAGCAAAAATGTAACACAGCATTAATTTAAAGGTTGTATTTGCTCCATCCTAAGGGATCTGGAGAACCAGGAGGATCATCCGCAACAATTTATGTTTAATTCCAGTTTCAGTTAGCAACACAGTGACAAGAGGAAGTGCTATTCCATGTGGGCCTGGTTTACATGCATAAGTTGGACAGTGCTCTCCAAAGATACATATCTATCCAGTGGATAGTTAACACAATAAACTATAACACCCACTTGAGTGATTTATCCAGAGCACATAATAGACTTCCTGGTTCAGTTTCTGTCTGTAATCTTTTATTCAGCCAACTATATCTGACCTACAGATTATTTCTTTGGCCAACATTGCCCTGGCAGCAGGCCATAGCATTTCAACTGCAGCAAATTAGTTCCTTTGTTTTGCAGCAATATGTTTTGCTTTTAAAACGAACAACTCGGTTTTAGCATGGATCTCCTAGTTTGTTTTAAAAACACCACATTTCCAGTTCATACAGGTTGGCGGGTTAAACTAGTATTTTGTCAAAGTCTTCAATAGTGTTAATATTGTCACTGATAATATTGATGGGTACAATTTTACTGTCAATCAAATGAAGTGTCAAAAAATTTCTCTCAAAAACATCTCAAAAATATATAATAAATGTTCTGGGTACAATTCACAGTTATGGTAAGCAAATTTTGAAATAGGTCTAAAATAATTTACACAGAGGGAAGAATTTTCTTAAAACCTCTACCTAATTAAAGCCATATTTGATTACATGTGAAGCATATTTATTTATTGCCTTTTCCATATAATTTCAAGTGTCATCTGTGATGAAAAATAATCTAATGACTTATTTCACTTCCAAAATATATTTTTCTTTAAGTTGGTTATTGACGTTCTTGTACTGATGATTTTCAGGACAAATTATTTCCTTGCTGTTACCAAAAGAAAGTAATTTCCTCTACAGTTTTGAGGAAAAGAAGGAAATAGAGACACCACTCCCCATTTTTTGGCTTCCAAAACTTTACTGTGCAATTATATCTGCGTTCAATATAATCCACGGAAGGTAATATACGGTATGGTGATTCATGAATATGCTAAATATAAAAATAACACCCAGTGTTTACAATGCTAGTAGAAAATAACCAAACACACGAAACGGATATTTCCAAAGCAGTAATTAAAGGTGCGACGTAACGAATTTTTGTCTTCTTGGATGCGTCTAGTAAAAAAAATTCTGACGGGATTTTTCGCGTTTTAACACCTTGAAGATCTAGAAGACCAAAACAAAAGCAATCAACGTAATATTTATAAACACAGAACAGGAATCAAACGCACAATTAAGGTCTTCAATGACACAAGAAAACGGAAAACCCATGAGTGTATTTTGGGTTCATTAACTTGCTTTCATAGAAGGGTGGAAGGAAGCTATTGAATAAACAGCCCCCTAGCCTATTCGTGATTCTGTTGAAGGGAAGCCCAACAAAGGCGATGCCTAATTCAGCAAGGAAAGCGGACACGCAATTATCTAAAAAACGTTGATAATTCACTCTTCGCCTTTGAAAAACTCAAAAAATAGCCGAAACGCTTTAGAATGGGAAGGACGGCTCTGACCACCCGCGAGGAGATGCGATAAACCTTTCTTGTGTAAATGACCTCTATGCAGCTGATGTGATGACTATGTGCGTAGCGACCATCTATAGTCGATCACTTTCGATTATCAAAACAATAAGAACGAACAAAAAAAATTAACATAGCATGAACCTACTTGATTCCAAAATTCTTTCTCCAGAATTCAGCGGCATCATACTTGGTGATCCTGAAGCCGTCGCCTATATAAGTCCCTTGAGGAAATATTGCTTTCACTTCGGCTAGCATATGGCTGAAGACCAAACTCAGTTTTGTCAAGCTTCGTCGATACGTCGAGTTTTCGTCGTACATTTTCTCTTTTCCCTCCTTGAAAAGCTTGATCGCCAGCTTGGATTGCTTGAGGAGGTTCTCTATGTATATCCTAAAATACTCGCAGTCGTTCAAAATGTGCATTCTATCCTCGTACTTCGAAATAATCAACTTCAAATGTTGGTAAGTGTCGGGGAGAATGTCTAGAATATATGGAGGACTGTTCTTGAGGCAGAGCCGCTGGTTTTGACAATGCTTTACCACCTTGTCCATCAGCTTCCATGTTTTCTCGATAGTTTTCCTGTCGATCTGCAAACGCGGGGTTACACAATGAGTTAAAGCGTCTTGTAAACGTGTGAAGAACCGTGTGCTTCGACTGGGAGGACCATTGACGGCCATTTTGAGCCAGTCGCTTGACAATTTCCGTGTTCGACTGTGTCGCTGGTCACGTGGTTGCAGCATACAGCCAATCATGACGGTTGATAGTTCTGTAAGTGCGATAATTCCACGAATCTAACGTTTTCGTCAAATATTCAGATTACTTCGGGTTTTCCAGATGCTCTCTGAGAATTTTACGTGCCGAAACTAACAGATGAAAGTCGTTCAGTCTGGCGTCTTCGCGCATCCACTTTCACTAGGCTGAATATCCGATCTTGAAGTGAGTAAATAAAATAATTTCAAGAAAGGTGATCTCAGGCTTTTTTTAGCAGACGGTTTCCGGCCGGAGGCTAGCAATGTACTCAAGAATAAACGCCTTCTTTAGCCTGGTGATGACGTAGATGTCTGTACGGCTGCGAGCTTCCTTTGAAAATAAAAACTCTTCCAGAACATTAACGTCGGTTCCGTCAGGAAATGTCAACGGACCTCAACGCTGAAAGAAAGCACAGTTTCTTGGTTGGAAATCGTACTATTAAATTTTGCTATGATGTATTGTATGGAATCACTGAGGCCATTACATTGAAAAAGCTGATGGACTGTTCAGTTGATTGAGTACGTTTGACCTATGAATTTCACTTATGCAAACTTGCTCTTTGATCTTGAGAAAACTTTATATAACAGTTGAAAGAAATAACATTAAACCTTAATTAACAAACAAGACTGCCCGCAGAATAGACTGTGTTTCATACCAACAAATTTCCAACTCATTTTAGGTTTGATCATGAGCTTACTTTGCAAACTGAAATAGATGTCTAACTTTATTTATCTGACCGCCGAATTGCAGAGTACTTAAACATCAAAACTTACCTCGATGGAATTCGAGTGGATGATCGGATAAAGTGATCCGTTGTAACTCTTATACCGTGCAAGGTGCCGAGCAATGAGTTCTACCTTATTCAAGACTGTTTTTTTTAGGATCGATACTTCATTTCCTCCAGACTACAAAATACTGGAATGAGCACTTCGCGCACAAATGCGCAAGATGATTAGTGTACAATTAAAATTAGACGAAGTTACTATAAGGAGTGTCATGTAAATATTTATCAGGTATTTACTCGAACAAAGGCTAAGTCAATACAGAGGCGTGTTTGCTGGGAAACTGATCAGTGAAGTGGACACGCCTCACGCGAACACGACTCCCACGCGAAAAACCACCACATACTTCACGGTATCATAATACCCGGGGGGGGGGTACTCCCTTATGTGGGCTATGTAGGTATGTGTGGCCCCAAAGGGTACCGGAATGGTTTTTTAGCCGTTTTGTTCATAAGTATGGTATCGATATTGGCCATTTTGGTTTCAAATAGGGTATGGTTTTTTGCACTCTAGTCTCGAATTCGGTATGTTTTTTTTTTTAGAAGAAGCTACTTTTTCATCATTAACGATGACCATCAACAAAAGCCCTTCACAATGCATCTGAACTAGGTTACTAATTATAAGTCAGGTCTGAAACAGGGTATTGATTTAAGGGACAGGTCTGAAATGGGGTATCAAAGTTTTGGTCAGGTCATAAATAAGGTAGGGAAAATCACAGATTTTGGTCTCAAATAAGTTAAGGGTTTTGGGAAGCGAGCCGCACACCCCCACCCGATTCGTCTGGGAGTGATTCCTT